GGAGGGTAGGAGTGTGGTCAGGTGGGTGTTAGTGTAACTCAGGTGGGGAAGGGGCAGGGGGTGGGACGTGTCTCTGCGTGTGCCTTGCTTGGAAGGCGAGCTAGAGCAGTCAGTGCCAGGCCTGGGTGCCACTCGTCCCATGCTGGTTCTCCTGTGCTAATGCCACCTGTTGCATTGGCTTTACAACACTATATGGGATTTTTTTGAGTCCAGTATGATTTACTTTTACAATTATTTTTTTTTTTTACACTCTTTCCCTTCCTTTCCACCCCTCCTAGATATGGACTTTGAAGAACCAACAGTAACCCTTGAATGGGGCTAATGTTGCTTTCAAAGTTAACTCTGTCTTGGTACATTTGTATTGCCCGAGAGGCAAGAGTGGACTCTTTGCTCCTGGCTTACCTCCTGAAACGTGGGTGTACACTGAGCTTGGTGTCCAACCCTACAAATGTGGAACAAGACACGACTTAGAAGTGCCGTAACATTGACCTAGACTCTATATTTTTGTTGGTTTCTCTAGCAGTCATCCCTTCCCCTTCCCCCCCCCCTCCCCTGACCCGCTTGTTTTTGGAGCCTCCTAGTCTGGGTAGCCGGCAGGTGGTGCTGATGGATGCCTAGTGAGCCCTCGGCATCCCGGGCCACCAGTTCCTGCTTCCCCCTGGCCACGGGTGCCCACTCCCCTCCCTGTGCCCAGCCCCACTGGAGCTCACTGGCAGCAGGCCCAGGCACTGGCCTCCTGACTCTCTGCCTCCTTCGGCACTGAATCCCTGCTTACTGCAGAACAAAATGTTAAAAAAAATACCCCAACAAAACAAACAAACAAACAAAAAAAACCCAAACCCCAGAAACCAGAACAACTTGGTGTGGAGCTGTAGCTTATGTGAAAGCTGAGGAGATAATGGGGGTTGAAAGATGTACTGACTGGGTAGCCTTGAAAATTGCTAAGTAGAAGTGCTGTGATCAGTGGAGCGATTTAGTAGCAAGAATTAAGACTGAAATAAGCAGGTAAATATTGAAACGAGCTTTGCTTATCAGTCCCTAATAACTACTTTTTAAAACCTTCACAGAATGTCAGTTCACCTTTGAGAAGGCTATAGAGTACGTACCATTCGGTATGTACACTCTCTCCTCTATTTATAATGTTCCTCTTGGGAGGATTTTCTTGATTGTACGATGCTGTTTTTATGAACATCAAAACCCTCTTTATAAGACAACCTCGCTTGACTTCTCAGGAAAAAAAAAAAAATTATTGAAATGAACTGCATGAGAGTTTGTATTTCTTGTAGGCTATATAGAATGTTAACAGTTTTAACTTACTAATAATTCCTAAAGAAAATTATTCCAGAATTTGTACCTGTTCTTGTTTGGTTTTTGTTTTTTTGTTTTTGTTTTTGTTTTTTTTTTAAATCTTGTCCATGGTTTTTTATGTGTTAAAAACTTTTTGTCTTTTTATGTCTCATTTTTAGAAGCTGCTAACTTGTGCCAAACCTCCACTGCTGCTACTACGCCTGTGACTCTTACTACTCCATTCAATATAACGTCCTCTGTGGCTTCTGGGACTATCACAAACCCAGTCACAGTGGCAGCTGCAATGAGCATGAGAAGTCCAGTAAATGTATCAAGTGCAGTTAATATATCCAGTCCGATGAACCTAGGGCATCCTGTAACTATAACCAGTCCATTATCCATGACATCTCCATTAACGCTCACCACACCAGTCAATTTACCCACCCCAGTAACCGCTCCAGTGAATATAGCGCATCCAGTCACCATCACGTCTCCCATGAACCTCCCCACACCGATGACGTTAGCTGGTCCCTTAAATATAGCCATGAGACCAGTAGAGAGCATGCCTTTCCTGCCCCAGGCCTTGCCCACCTCTCCTCCTTGGTAAAGAACTTCTACACAGTATTAAAAAGGATTAAAATGGAATCCTTACCAGCAGTTCTTTTTTTTGGGGGGGTTTTGTTTGGTTGGGGTTTTTGTTTTGTTTTGTTTTGTTTTAGTTAATAATAAATTCAGACTAAGACACTGGGGCAACATGCACCATCAGAGACCGTAGTAGCATCTTCCCCTGTTGATTTGGCTCATATGGTTCAAACTTGAGTTTCACTGGAGCACTTCCATTTAAAGTAAGTTTTACCTTTTAGCTGACTGATGATGAATTAGAGCAGATACTTATTTGCCAGAGTTTTTAAAAAAAAAAAAAAAAAAGTAATTAAAAAAAGTTTTATGTTTTATCCCCCAAATTATAACTTAGAAAATTATTTTAATCTAAACACTAGCAAAGACCCCCTCTGTATCTTTGACAGGGTGGATGGCTAATTTTAACTTGCCGGTTGTTAAGTCCACTGTTTCTGAGCTAGTGGAGTAAATGCATTACAATGTTGTCATTAAAAAAAAAATGCATTTTGGAGAAAATATGCATTTTACCTTTGGGAATATGATAATTTCAGGCAGCATTCCCTATGGGAAAGGTGATACCAGCTCTGATATGCAAAGCATATGATAACTTATCATTCTAACTTCAACATATAATAGGGATTGTGACCTGATATTTGGAGATGTAAATATTACCCAACATATTACCCTAAGGGAATATAGCATTGTAGTCAACATTTTTTTTAAAAAAACTGTTACTGTTTGGTGAGAAACAGCCATGGCTGACAGAAGAGGAGTCGCAATGTGTGTAAACATGGTCTCTGAACAGTCAGACCCCTATGGGACTCTTATCTAGGAGCAAAAGGAGTGCTTTTGAAACTTAAGAAATATTGCTTTAAGCTGGAAGATTCTGGAGGCACTGGGTATGATTTTTATGCCCTCTGCCTCCCAGTCAGAGCCTGCTGGTGTTACAGCAGGGGACAGACGTGTTAGTTGTTCACTAGAAGTTTTGTCTTATATTAAATTGTATACAGTTTTTATTCTAACCACTAACTAGGTAGGATGCCCCTCCAGGACAAGCAGAGAGCGTCTTTTAATTTCTCCCCTATTTCTTAATCAAGTGTTGTGCAAATCTGTTCAACTTTGTAAATATTTGCAAACATCATCATTTTTACGTTACTCTTCTATTGTGTTAACACATTTCTATCAGTTTGTGGGAGTTCTGGAGTGATGGTTTGGTCTGTCCAGCCCAGAACTTCTTCACAAATGGTCACACATGTTTAAGCTACATGTGCTTTTTATTTCTTAACCTGTTTATCTGTACATAAAGTAGAAAGCAAAATCTAGGGAAACAGATATACTTTTTAGACTATCATGTCACATATTCACGTTTTTAAAACTTTGTTTAAAAAAAAAAAAAAAAAACCAACCACCCTAAACCCAAGACTCTATATTAAAAAAAAAAAGAAAAAAACTACAGTTGAGATGTTTTTATCTTAATGAAGTTGAAAGCTATGGAGAGTAGCGTGTGCGCATTTTCACAGAGTGCTAGCAGGACTGACTAGTCAAAATGGACTGCTTCCGTTTGTACCCTGCCGTGTCAGTACAAGCAGTGATTGCCAGGCTGCTGGCTCAGGTGACAGGTATCTGTATCATTACGTGAAACTGTTCTAGGGGCTTGGACTACATAGTAAAATAAAAACAAACAAAAAAAAAATAGAGCTTAGTGTAAAATAATTTTATAAATGATCTTTTGTACTTTAGGACATCAAATTGTACAACTTTTGTATATATAAAAGCTTAGGAACTTTCTGTTTAGCAGAAAGGAAACACATTCCTACACTTTTAATGTATATGTTTGTTATAATGTCCATGTAAACATATGCCCTATGTTTGTGCCTTTTAATTAGTTTGTCTCAATAAACAAAAATGTAGAGAAGAATATGTAGCTATGACTTTGTTACCACTGTTCTTACTCCAGATGTGTAGAGGTCTTCGTTTTTGCACTGTGTAGAGCATTGCGTGCAGGCAGCTGCATGACTTCGGCCGCCCCGGCCGATCCCGAGGCACGAGGCGACCGCGCCCCAGCAGAACTCCCTCCTCCCGTAGCGTAGAGCAGCCCGCGCTGGTGGGGCCTTGCATGTTGGGATGTGTAGTTTCCAAGCCATCTCTGCTACCCGTGGCAATGAGACCAACTTGCACCAGTTTTACCTAGTAGGTGTAGCGTTCTGGGTCTGGGTAAACGGCAGAGATGACCCTTAGATGAAGTTTGGGCGTCCCTGAGCTTAAAACAAACAAAAGCATTAAAAGCCGATATGAAAATGTGTACTAGAAGTGGTTATCTATGAATTACTTACAATAAACAGGTGTGAGACTTTAATTGTATGTTGTCAATTACTGTAGTATTGACAGTGGCTCCTCCGTACAGCTAGCGTGCCCTGCTGATGTTATTTTTATCCCAGCAGAGTAGCAGTAGAATAAACACATTAAACCCCGGCAAGGAAATTTTTCAACGTGACAGAGGCTTCCCAAACCACTAACCGTGGTGCTCTTAGCATGGGATAGGAAGAGGGCTGTTTCCTTTTTATTTTATGTTGGTTCTGCTCGAATGTACCTGGTTTCTGTCCACAAAGCTACATTAGCTAATTGTCAACCTGTTTCATTTGTACTTGGGTAAACATTTGCTTTGTACTGTGTATAAATGGTTCCGAGGTGTGCTCCTCAGCTGTCTCAATACAGACATTAACTTCGCTTTGTAATGCCATCATACGAAAATACATTAAGCTGTTTTTTTGACAAACGAAAGCTACCTGCTCGAGTAGTTCGTACGGCATGCGTGCTACCTTGTAATCGATGGTTCATCCACAGCATAACGAGGCAGTGAGGCCAGCTGCTGTCGGGAGCCGGCGCGTAGCTGCACCACAGCGATGAGGGATTTGTATGGCAACTCGTGTCACCGCAGCACGGGGGAGTTAAGACTATAAGAAAATGGTGGATGTGAAGAACAGATGCTCCTGTTACACCGAGTTAGTTTCTATGCAGCTGATGCGCTTAGCCTAGTTTATTTAATGGAAACTTTTAAGCTGGATCTAGTCCAACGTCCAGGGAAGCCTATTGCTGCCGTTGAGTTCAGTGGGTTTTATATCGAGCCCATTCAGGTCTCCGATTGCAAGTGGTTCAATAGGGGTTTTATTTTTTCCTTCTTAAGTTTCCATAAGCGTTCGAGCATTAGGTTAATGGCTTAGCACCGACGGAAGGTTTTACAGTTGAATTTTGCCTTGGAAGGATTTGTGCCATGGAAAGTCAGAGCGGTCAGATCAGTGGCACGGAAACGCATCCTGCGGGCGAGGAGAGCCCGCGGGTGCCCGGCGCTGTGCGGGCGAGGCGCTGCGGGGCCGCGGGAAGGAGGTGTTGCGGCACAGCCATCCACGCTGCCCCAAAACTAGGAGTGGTTTACCTTGGGCACGTTGGTTTCTTTATTTGGAACGCCCCACCGCTTCCAGAGGGCGCTTGGGGCGAGGAGGAATTTGGGCTTTGACCTTCCGTGTCTTGCCATTGGAGAGTTACACCTGAGTGTTGTAAATTGGGGAGATTTCTGTTCAGTCAAGATGACGGATGAGAGAGAGAAACGCGTGTTATTCTCAACGTATGAGTTAAATTCTATTTGCCATTGTTCACAAATAAAAGATTTTTTTTTTCCCCTTCTTACGATAACTTTTTCTTTAGAGTGGCGGAAGAAAAAAAGTATTTAATGTATTTGCATTTGTCCACAAGAGGTTTAAAGAAAAACACCAAAAACCCAGTAAGCGGTTTGAGCTGCAGCAATCCCGGGTTACATAAAGGGGCCGGGGCTGCCGAGGGATTAGTCGGAGGCATTACTGGCGGTGATAAGCCCTCCAAGTTCTGCTCGCTCTTCGCTCACTTTTATTTTAGAAACCGTCACTCTCAGATGTATTTTGAAAACTGCCTGGGGTTAATTTTCAAGGCTCTCAGGGTGAGGTTCCCACCAAAGAAGGAAGGAAGGAAAATTTGGATTTAAAGAATGCCCAGGTTTTCAAAAGTGTCCAGTACTCTTGATATTTTTTTATCTCACCACTTAGGGTCCCCGCATGGGAGCCGAGTTGTTGAGAAGTGGACTACAGGTTTTCACTGCCGGGTCCTACTGAAAACTCCTGCCTTGCTTTGTTGGTGGCTTAGTTTATCCATCTCAAAAATAGATTTACCAGTATATTCGAAAGGCAGCTATTAAAAGCCCTTCAAGTTTTCAGATGCCTTTGAGGTCTGTCTCGGTGCTTAAGTGGACTTTTTTACTGGTGCTTTTTAGGATAAATAGCAAGTGTAAAAATAAATCTCTTCCTCTCCTAATCGTCAGGCAGAATAAAACTTAAAACTTGATCCCCTTCCACCTATTTATTTAATTCAGCATGTTTATACCTCTTATCTTTGGATCATTCGCTCACAGCTTCCAGAGCAGCAACTGAAGGATGACAGAGGAACTACGTGCTAATTTTTATGTCAAAAATAGCTTTCACCTTTAGACGCGCAAGGCTCAGTGACTGTTTTCCAATTAGAAAAAGAATGTCTGAGCTGCTGTTGCGAATCCATTTTACAGCTGTGTTCAGATTTGACTGTCAGGCCCTGGTTAAAATTTAGTACTGAGGTCTTGACCTAGAAACAAACCTTTTTTGGTATTGGTTTGGAAAAAGTATTTCAGTGCTAAGAGAAACTGAGCCAGGCTGTCCAGCTAGCTCCCTCAGCCCGGGCTGGCCAGAGCCTGAACCTCGCATCATTTTGTTGTACGCTGCATCTTCCTGAAGCCCAGGTAAAGAACCACTGGGAAAGCTGGGTTTAGGATTTTTTAAAAATAATAACAGATTTTTTTTTTTTGGTTCTTCAGGTTTCTGGGTTAATCTGAGCCATTTGTAAAAGCCCTGGGTTTTTGTTTAAGGAAGCATAAACACTTTTTGAAAACCAGACGTTTGTAAAACATTTCCATTGTGGGCATCTGAAATTACTGCTTGTATCAGAGTGTAGACCTCTGCTTTCTTTGCAAAGCCTTCCCGACAGCTACCTCCAAAACCAACCCATTTAGTAAAAAAACAAGGGGCATTTTCAGCATGTGTGGAACCTTCTGTTTTTTTAGAGAAGGCAGGAATACTCCATTCACCTTTTCACTTAGTTGTTCTCGCCAGCTGTCAAGTCAAAAACATGTTCTGTGTTTTCGGCACAAGGTTTGTTTTTCAGGGAATTATCAATTTAGTTGGAACTGGCTGAATTAAACTCACTGTTTGAATTCTTCATAGTTGTGTATTTCTATTCCCATTTCTTTTTACTTCCTAGTGCCATTAGCAGCTAAGACCCATATCAAAGGACAGTAAAGAAATTTTGATAAAATCACCCATTTCCCCCGAAACAAGCCTGGATGAGACAGATTGCGGTCAGCAAAGCTCACTGCAAGGCACTGTGTCACAGAAGAGATGCTGATCGGTGTTTAACTTCGGGAAAGCAAATGTTGTGGCACATGTACGCACTGAAAGCCGAAGGTTTGCCTCGAATGTTTTCACTCTTACTGATGTCTGTGTTCCTTGTCAAAGCCTTACAGATTTTTATCCAGGCTAAGGATCGCTTAGCTGCCAGACACGGCTGAAACGATTGAGTGGGGAAAAACTTCTGCACGGAGAGCTGTCCTGCGAGGGCTTTGGAGCATCCCAAGCGCCTGCTCGGGGTCCGGCACCCACAGACGTGGTTCCGAGGCGGTCTTACCGGCCGCGGGTGCCCGGAGGTGCCGATGTTTCTCCCGCAGCGTGTCCGGAAGGGTTTGGAGAGCAACGAGGAGAGCAGAGGCCCTGACCTGCTGCCATTCACGGTCTCGCTCTGGTCCCTGCAAAATGGGAAGTGTTTGCCCTGTGTAAAATTGGCTCCTGTAATTTGTAAGAGGAGATCACTTCCCGTCCTGAGCTGTTCTGTGGTATGGCTGCAAGCTGTCAGACGCCGGAGCGCTGGATACCGGAGACGCCTGCTTTCTATCTGTGGTTGAAGTGATGCTTTGTTATAATCCCTCTCTCATGTTCAGCCCTTGGGGCAGGAGTGCTGCGTCCTCTGCCTTACCCCAGGCACGCCCCGGGCTGGTGGTCGCAACTCCGGGAGCCAGGGATGCTCCAGAGCTGTGGAGGAGACCCGAAACCAGCCCTGGGAAGCGGCTTTCCTGGGGATGCTGCCCCGCACGGCGGCGGCCGAGCCCGGGGGTGCCCGACCCTGCAAGCGCAGCCACAGCCGGGGGTTTGGGGGAGGCCGGGGGGCAGCGTGGGGGGGTCCCGGCCCCCCCCCCCGGCCCCAGCCAGGGGCTGTCTCAGCCCCAGGGCCGGGCAGACCCAAGGTGGCGGCGGGTCAGGCCTCCGCGGGCGCTGAGGGGACCGGGCGGTACCGGCCA